TTTTAAACAGGAATGTTGTTCTTGCTGCTGTAAATTGTTTGTTGGGGGCTGATCCGTGGCAACGCCCTTTGGGGAGGCTGTTTGTCAACCAGGCCAGAGGGTGGTTGTGGCGTGATATGGATGGGGAGGTGGCAGGGCAAGCGGATGGGCTGCGTGTGGGTTGGGGGAAGAAGAACAATTCACAGGTGGCCCATGGGGAGAACCACTGGAGGGGGGAGTGCAAACTGGGGACAGTGGGGAACCTGGAGTTCCAGTCTAGACACGTTTAGTGTAAGGTATCAGCCTTTTTCATGTCGTGGTACAATGGAAGTGAGACTAATGGATGAGGCCACTGTGGATGGAGGTGACTGGCCCACCTCGTCCCACCTGCCATGCACTCCCCGTGCCATACGCTTCTACAGGGAAGCCCAGCACAGTGCAGGGAGGGGAAGGAGCCAGCAGAGGATGTTGCTGTGGTCACCCCCCTTAGTCAGGTCCCTGCCAGGTCTCACCTGAGTTGAGGAACAGCCACCAGATCCTCCCCCGACTCCGTGGGCGGCAGAGCAACTCTGCCGAAGCAGCATGAGAGCGGTTGCTCTGTGCTCAGGGTCCTTCACTGGCTCCTCATGACCTTGGACAAGCCCAAGCCTTGTGACAGCGTCCAGACCCCATACCCCACCGATGCCTCCAGCCCCTCTGTCTCTCTCTCACTCCCCACATCCTTCTTGTTTCTTTCCTTCTCTCCCCCTTCCTTTCTCTCTCTTGTACAGTTGCACTAAACTCAGGATGTTCTCTCTGGCCACAGGGCCTTTGTACGAGATCTTCACACCATAACTCCCCAACAGAGCTGATGACATTTTGCCCAAGCCCATCTCAGACGCCCCCTCCAGGGAGCCTCCCAGATCCTGCCTCCCCTCAGGTCAGGACTCCGGTTCCCTCTTGTGGGCACAGCTCTCCTCCACGTCTGAGTCCTTACCTGTTGCCCACTCCTCTTACTACATGGTCAACTCCTGGGGAGAGAATACATCTCGTCTTAATCTTTTCTGTTTTCAGGATCAATATGGTGCTCAAACGTCCATTGAATAAATGGTTTCCCTAACTGCCCCTGCATTGCAATCCGCTTTCTAAAAGGAGCATCTGCTTTTCTGGTCATCGCTGAGGAGAGGGGACCTGTTTCCTCTCTTGGGGGTGGGGAGAAAGGGAGTCCCTTTGGGGGAACTGGACATCACTGAGCCAGTGAATGCTGCCCTGGGTCTGAGGGAGCCAGGTGGGTAGCGGTGACCTGGTGGGGAGGGAAGGGAGAGGATGGTGTGTGTTTTTGCCTGGCATCGCACCATCAGCATGCAGACCCCTCCACCCCCAGCCCAGGCACCGAGACTTACCCAGGCGGCACCTCCTCTTCCTCCTCTGGGTCCTTCCCACCTCCCTGCCCCCTGTTTCATCTGCCTTTGGGGTTTTTGTTTTTTGCCACATATCTTCCCCTTTTCCCTTCAGAGTTATTCTGGCTGGGCATTTTCATCCATGTGACCCCCAAGCGTCGCAGAACTGGAGGGAGGTTGTGTGTTTGGAGGAGGCAGGAGGTGGGGGAAGACCACCACGTGACTGCAGCCATGTGCATGTACTGTGTGTAGCAGAGCCACATCCCTGTGGTCCAGATGGCACAGGAGGGGATGCTACTACTGACTCAGCAGGTGCACTTGGATTGGCCCTGGGCCAAAGGGCAAAGGTCGCCCTAATGGTAAGCCATTTAGAGCAGGTGACCTCGGGCTGCATCCTTCTACTTCTGAGATCCTGTTTGCTCACCTGCCAAATGGGATGACGCCTCATGGGGATGTTGTGAGGACTATGTGAGTAATGTCTGGAAAAGCTCCTCATAAACGGATCCAACATAAGGGGGTCATGCCTTGGCTGGGGGTGCTGCCACGTTAATACATGGACATAATAACACTTGTTGGTAGGGACTGAATCTTTCCAATAGCATTGCCTTCCTTTCCTCCCTTCACAGTAAGTGGCCTATGCCAACGCTTTTCAAATACCAGTGATCACAGCCACTAAACGAGGCCATGGAGGACACTTGTAAATCAGAACTAGACAGATGAGGGGCAGCCAGCTACTTCCTGGTTTCTGCATGAAGCAGTTGGCCAGGCCAGCTAGGGTTTGCTGTGGGGATTTATTTCCAAATGGCCTGGGAGGCACAATTACTGTAAACATACCTCTAGGAAGAGAAAATTCCATTCTGCTTAGTCAGCATGATATAGCCATTAAAACGCTGGTTTTCCTCCTCTTTGAGCACTATCCCTGAATCAGCTATGGCTTCACCCACCGAAGGCTGCAAGGCTTTGCTGAAATAAAATGATTTTCAATAAGAGTGGGTGTGGAGCTTCAAACTACTCCTGCGGAATCGGGGGCCCTCAGTCGTCCTGGCCTCACTGTCATGCCAGCCGGGGCCACCTGCTCCTCCAAGACCAGTTTGGTGCCCAAAAAATAGTTAGTGAAAGTGAACATGGTGTGGTCACTTTGCTTTCCAGGCTTCTGTTTCTTCTGCAAGGTGGGAACAATTTGAGGATGGCTTGGAAAGCCCTCAGCCTGCCTGTCAGTGGATAATATCTCAGTGGAAGTTACCCCGCTTTAGGAACCTCCCTGAGGGCCAGACGCTATGCCAGGTGCATCACTTGAGTTACTTCATTTATTTTACTTTGCGTGACAACCTGTCAGAGTAGGTATTTCTGTGCCTATTTTACAAGAACACTAGAGCTAGGGGAGATGAAGAAATTCATCTAAGGTTGTGCAGTTAGCTAGAAATAAATTTAGGGCGTCAGCTCTCCGAATCTATCAGTCTGACTCTAGAACTTGAGCTGTCTTGTGTACATTATCTGTCTTAGTTTTGCTGTAGAAAATTTGTTTTTCAGAAACTGTCTTAAGACAGTAGTAAAAGAAGGTTGGGGGAGCGGTAATTAAATATGAAGAACATGTACAGCTTTTACTAGAAATTGCTATACGGAGGCGGTAGAAGCAAAGCTTGTCTCCTGTAAATCTCTGCGTACTGTCAGCCTACCTTAAGTTACTGCGTGGAATTGTAAGCCACAGCTCTTTAAAATATATTAATATACACACACACACAGTCATGCCATGCATCACTTAATGGCGAGGATATGTTCTGAGAAATTCGTCGTTTGGAGTTTTTGTCATTGTGTGAACATCACAGAGTGTACTTAGACAAACCTAGATGGCATAGCCTATGGCACACCTAGGCTGCATGTGATGGGCAGTTGTGCCCAGGCTCCGAACCTGCACAGCATGTCACTGTACTGAATACCAATACGGTAACGTTGCCTATTACCATGACAATTGTACTAGGCGGTGTTTGTGTATCTAAACATGGAAAGTGCACAGTAAAAATACGGTATTACGATCTTATATGTGGTCTGTTGTTGACTGAAACATCATTATGTAGTACATGAATGTGCGTGTATATATTTTTCCCCCCCACAGGGCTGCATTAGTTATAAATTGTGAGTTTTTATCCCATTGGTGAAATGTTCTAAACAAGCCCTTCAGATTTGTTGACTAATGAAGTTAAAGTCACCACGTAGGGAATGCTTAATAAAAATCGCTTCTTTCCTGCATGGAGTTTTTCAGGCTCCAAGTGGTGAAAGCATTTTATTTACACAGTCAGTTAACTTACAAGAAAATGAAAGCCAGGAACCATAGCTAAACCCCACATTAAAAATCCTGCGTGTCTTTGCATCTCCTCCCCTCCCCTCATGTGTCCTTTTCTCTTCAGATCAATATTTACCGAGCGTGCCAGACTCGTGAGGACACGCATCCCGCCTGTGTGCAGGCTGCACGGTGCTTCAGGAGGTGGCCGGGCAGGGGGCCTCTTTCGAGGGTGGCGTGCTGGAGCCTTCTTTTTAAAACACAATATTTATATATATTCATATACTTGTTTATATGTTTATGTATTTATGTATAATATCTATGTTTGTTTATTTATTTATTTATTTATTTTTTTGAGACAGAGTCTCACTTTGTTGCCCTGGCTAGAGTGAGTGCTGTGGCGTTAGCCTAGCTCACAGCAACCTCAGACTCCTGGGCTCAAGCAATCCTCCTGCCTCAGCCTCCCGAGTAGCTGGGACAACAGGCATGCACCACCATGCCCGGCTAATTTTTTTTCTATATATTTTTAGTTGTCCAGATAATTTCTTTCTATTTTTTTTTTAGTAGAGACGGAGTCTCGCTCTTGCTCAGGCTGATCTCGAACTCCTGAGCTCAAACAATCCGCCCGCCTCGGCCTCCCAGAGTGCTAGGATTACAGGCGTGAGCCACCACGCCCGGCCTATCTATGTTTATTTTTAAGTGTGTGTGTGTACATGCGTGCATGTATGTACGTGTGCGCATACATATAGCTGTAGACATACTTTCTTCCCCCCTGGACGGAGATGTACCGCAGACTGGCAGGCGGTACTCCTAATTGATGTGTATAGACATGTATATTTTAATTTTTAAAATTTATATACTGATATGTATTTATGTAGGTTGTATATTTCTCAAAATATACATTTGTGTGTGCATATTATATTTCTAGCTATGTCTTTGTTTGTGCCCTGTGTGCGTGAGACACCCAGATGGACAGACTGCGCCACACCGGCTCTCGGGAGCAGGGATTCTCCGGGAATCTGCTGTTCTTGTATTCCATGAGGACCCACCGAGTGTTGCCCCTCTGACCTAGTGTGGAGACCCAGGGCTGCGCTTTGCACGCGAGTGTCGGGGTCGTTTGTTCCCTTTGTGTTGGGGAGGAGACGCACTCCCATGGTGGGAGAGGGCAGAGAGCTGGCTGCAGAAGCCCAGGGGACCCAGTAGTAGCAAGTGGCTGGAGTGCCTTGAGGGTGGAGGGAAGGCCGTGGCATTGGGTGTGGTGAGAGCCTCGGGCAAGGGCCCAGCTTGGGCAAATGCAGCTGTTCCCCTGTGGAGTCGGGATGTGGTGGTGGGTTGTAAGAACTCCACCTGTCTTTGGATTTCAGGTCCAACCCGAAAGATGCCCCCCAGCGCCAGTGCCGTGGACTTCTTCCAGCTCTTTGTCCCCGACAACGTCCTCAAGAACATGGTGGTGCAGACAAACATGTACGCCAAGAAGTTCCAGGAGCGGTTTGGGAGCGACGGGGCCTGGGTGGAGGTGACGCTGACGGAGATGAAGGCGTTCCTGGGCTACATGATCTCCACCAGCATCTCCCACTGCGAGTCCGTCCTCAGCATCTGGAGCGGTGGCTTCTACAGCAACCAGAGCCTCGCCCTCGTCATGAGCCAGGCGCGCTTCGAGAAGATCCTCAAGTACTTCCACGTCGTGGCCTTCCGCTCCAGCCAGTCCACGCACGGGCTCTACAAGGTCCAGCCCTTCCTCGACTCCCTTCAGCACAGCTTCGACGCTTCCTTCAGGCCTTCCCAAACCCAGGTGAGGCCAGCCGCAGGGTCAGAGCTCGGCAAGGTGCCCTTGGGCTCACTCCCGTGGGTCACCGTGGCTGGTGGCAGGGCGTTGGGGCGTCCCTTCCCACCCTGCCTGTCCTCTAAAGTCACTTTGCAGTCACCTCTGCTATTCTCCCTTTCTGTCAACCCATCACATCCAAATTAGATTGGAGGGTAACAATAGTAAAAGCTCCATCCCACAGACAAGTCAGAATTCAGTCCTGTTGCTCTGAGATACAGTTTCCCTCCTCTTTTCTCTCCATCCTTCCTCTCCTTTAATTACACTTTCTTTCCAAATTGGGTTTTGCTCAGGCTGATGTTCAATTTCTTATTGTATTTTCTGAGTATGTCCTCACCTGTTGGTGGTGAATAGGGGCTAGAAGCCTCCTGGGAGGCAGAGAGGGTGAGCCTGGAATTTAAATGTTTCTCAGGCAATCAGGGGTTACTCATGTGCCCTTGGCCACGCGGGGTGGAGCCTTTGAAAGAGGGTTTGGAAGAGCCCCGGACTTCACTGTTATGGTCCCTAACACCGTCCCCAACATCCTTGACGATTCCAGAAAGTGGCGGCCCTGGTTGCTCTCAGCTCCTTCCTGCCTGTACCTGTGGGAGTCGCACCACCTGCAGTCCCACCGTGCTGAGACAGAATTCCAGAATCCTCCTCAAAATTGCTCTACTGGTCTAGCAAACTAAGGAGCTGGCTAATTTCTAGAGATTTCTCTAACCAAAACCAGGACGTTCTTAGCCACATTAGCCCAGTTTCTTTTGCCCTGTTCTATGTGGACCGAGACGTCAATGTCACTTTTATTTGTGTATTTAAAGACCCATCAGTCCGTCTTTTCACCTTGTGCTTTTGCTTTAAGGATCTTCTAAATACAACTACAGTTCTTTGCGACGTTCCCTTCTGCGTCCTCTCCCCAACTCTCTAGACGGTGCCTCTTCCCCACACAGCTGCAAACCGCAGGGTTTTTCTGGAGGTGCAGATCGCCAAATTTCAGGTCTGTGGGAGCCTTTAAACTATGTCTGAATAGTTCTCCCTGCTGTTCCGTGCACCTGCCGGGCTCATTATGACTTCCAGGTGTCTGCAGCACGCTTTCTGGCCCTAGGATGCTTTTTCCTCTTCTCTCTGCTTTGCAAGTTTACCCAGCCCCTGGGGCCCAGTGTAAGGCCCGCATTACCGTGTTTTTTGAATCCCCCCCCCAACTATTTACACAGGGTAGCCACACACCATTGTGTCTCATCTACCTGTGTGTCACTTACTTTCCTAACAAGAGGTGGAGACTTCTGGGGACAGGAGCCCTGCCTTATAACAGGCCCTGTGATACCAAGGACAAACCTGGGCACGTCATTTTTTGTTTCACCGGATACTTACTTGGTTGAAAATGAACCAAATCAGAGGCATGTTGGCTGACACAAGGAAAAAAAACACACATTCTGACCATCCTTGGGGTCACATGTTTGAAGAGCTGCTGCAGAAGGCTCTAGGCTCACTGTGCCTCAGTATCTCTCAAGAATCAACAACTAGCTACTTGGATGGTTGCTATTTAACAGCCTGGAGATCGGGCTGCCGAAGATCCTTCCAGCTCCAAGCCGAGGCAGGCCTCACGTCTGTCCCGTGCCTCCTGTATGTGCCGAGCCCGTGCTGTTTATGTATCCTGGAACACAGGGTCGTGAAGATCCCAGTGAGAAACAAATGCCATGCTCTAGAAGTGCAGGTGAAGAGGACTGAGCATAGGCACCACTGCCAGGGGTGTGGTCGGGTTAAGGGAGATCAGGAGGGGGGTGCAGCACGCAGGCCAGCTGCAGCAGGAAGCCCACGGCACCTGTGGGCCAGGGGGAGGGAGGGAGCCACATAGGATCAGAGAAGGCTGTATCCTGGGGAGAGACCTGGGGACCAGCAGGCAGGGAGTAGGAATAGATGCCCTCACCTCACTCTCACTCTGTGACCTTTTGCTGATGCCGCTGATTGGCCCCCAAGCCAGCAGCTAGAGGCAAGGGAGCTGGCCGGGCAGGTGGTAACACTTGGCCTCCAGGCCATGGCACAGGAGCAGAGTGGTAAGAAGTGGCCCTAGGGGATAAACAGAAAATACCAGGTACACCCCAGTGCACCCCATCCCACAGCCTGGGGCACAAGGCCTATTGTCCCAGCTCAAGTCAGTGGGTAGGGAGCAGGATAAATCAAAGGAGAAGAAACCATAACTGCAGCGTGCGGTTGGATGTTTAAGGTGGCTAGGGCTTCGTGGTTCCTGGGGCTTCCTGCAAGGCACCCGTGCCCCGTCCTCCCCTGGAGCAGTGCCTGACCCTGTCTGCTGAGGGACGCTCCAGCCTTCCCTTGGCTGCCAGCATCGGCCACGAGCTGCCTGGCTCCTGCGTCTTTGCTTTTCTCAGAGACATACCTGCTCCTTAGAGAAGGAAGAGGGTTCTTGTCTTGATCCTTGATTGGAGAAGCGAGAAGCGCTAAAGGTTTCCTGGTTTCCCAGCTCTACGCACCTGTGGAAGTCCCCGTTTGGGCTCTGGAACTTTCAATTCAAAGAGAAGCGGTGGTGTGGTTATAAGTTGCCGCTGGCTGCCGCACACCTCAGGGTTCCCCGGAGAGTCTTCATTCCTGCCTGTCAGTACCAGGAACCGGAGAGTCTTCATTCCTGCCTGTTGGTACCAGTTCTGACGATTCTTCTCCCATTTTTCTCATCGGATATGCGCGGGTAGATTTGCTGCAGACTCCCAGGGACTGCTCTGCACCCCGTCCTCTTATGCCGCCTCTCTGCACCCCACCCCACACGTGCACCCTCGGCCCTACAATCCCAGCAAATGTGGCCCTTAGGGATGAGTTTAGTTTTCCAAAGTCTTCAGAGGACTCCCAGGATCTGACAGTAACCAGAGCAGCCGTGTGTGTGTGTGTGTGTGTGTGTGTGTGTGTGTGTGTGTTTTACACAAATACAAAATGGGAAGGCTCTACACTTCCTCAAAAGTAGAGCCAGATTTATTAGAGAAATATTTTGGGGAGGGATTATGCAAAAAAGTAAATGGATGTTTTGTCTTTCCCCATCTTACATACCACCTGCCACACCCCAGATAGCTCGTCACGCAGAAGGGGACTGGGGACATCCCACTGGGTAACATAGAAATGCTGACCAGCCTACAGCCTTGAGGAGACAAAGTGGCTTCTCTGGCACTCGTGGTCTCCGGAGCCTTGGGGAGCATGCTGTGGCTGCGTTTAGTGACAGCCCCTTCACGGTTCATCTAATGATGACAGAAGAGGGAAAACACATCACTGAGGGTTGGAAATCCTTGCTGGCCTTTTTGCTTTGATGAGACATGTGATTAAATATAAATTTGTACCTGATGATCTGTTCAGCAGAAACGGAGCAGAGGTGTGCGCTGTTTCTGAAGAGGAGGACGGGAGAAGGCAGTTGCGTTTACCATGGCCTCAGAGGAGGAAGAGTAGGATGCAGGTTTTTGGTAGGGATGGTTGGGCAGGGAAGGGGCAGGCAGGAAGGATCTCTTTAGGCCGCGCTTTCCCTTCCCCATCTGCTCCCATTCCCCCTCCATGTGTGGGGCTTGTCCAAATGGAGCTTTGAATGTCATATGAGCTACCAAGAGCCAGCGAGTGCCAAACGCCAGGCATGAGGGCCCGGGAGGCGCTGCAGCCAGGCCAGCCCCCCAGCCCTCCCTTCCTGAGCACAAGATGGGAGGCCAGACATAATGTCCCCATGCTTCCAACGATAAAACTGAAGGGGGCAAGGATACACAGCTAAGACTGAACCATACAGCTGTTATTTTTTAAAAATGGAACTCAAAGTATTGTGAACAGAAGAATGGAAGGATGCTGTCCACATCACAAGTGGTAAGTATCACCCTCTGCTCTGTCCTTGGAAGACCGTGTTCTGACCTCACCTGGGAGCTTGCTGGAAACTCACAATCTCAGGTGCTGCCCCAAACCTGCTGAATCAGAATCCACATTTTAGCAAGATCCACAGGTGATTAGTTTGTTCAAACGTTTTCTGTAAATGGCCAGATAGTATTTTAGACTTTGTATGGGCCATATGACCTCTGCTATATCTTGTCACTTCTGTCATGGTAGCCCCACAGCAGCCATAGATAAGGTGTAAACAAAGGCACAGGCAGTGTTCTGGTAAAACTTCACTTACGAGACAGGAGGTGGCCAGACTCGGCCGTGGTTTGCTGACCCCTGATCTAGTGCATCACGTAGAGCTCTTGAATCACATCATTTCCTAAACGCTGTATTTCAGTTTGCTACGGATATACACTCCAATCCATAATTAAGCTTGAAATAGGATTAGGGAGGGGACTATAGCACATTCCTAAAACTTACTGGAAAATCTCGCAAAAAAGCTTTAGCCTGAAGAAATAAAACTTTGACGCCCCTTGGAGCCTATTTTTATTATGCCATTTCTTTTTACTTTGTTGTCTCGTCATTGAAAAAGTCATGTAGCCATGTTGTCAAGAAGTTGAAACAGATAAATTTGAAACTCGCCCTGGGGGTCTTGTCAGAAAGGACAGGACACCCAGAGGGGAGCCGGAGCCGCGTGTCGCAGCGAGGCCACGGGAACTGGGTCATCTGCCAAATGGTTTCTGGAAGGAGAATGTTCAGCCTGGGAAAGGGAGGCTGTGAGCCGACATGAGAGCTGTCTCGGAAATCTTTTAAACAGTATGTTTCATTGTTTCTCTCAGGGAGACGCCAGGTCAATAGGCTTCAGTGAAATACAGGTAAATTTGAATCGGTGCGGGAAAGAACTTTCTAGCAGCTGGAGCTGCCCATCAGTGGAAAGGGCTTCCTTGAAACGAAGCAGGTGCCCACTGCTGGACGTGTCCAGCCAGAGGACCCCTGCAGAGGTCCCACTACCAAGTGAGAGTCAGACTAGGTACATTAGGCCAATAACAACAACAACAATAATAATTTCCATTGAGAGTATCCGCCGTATGCCAGGGCCGGTGCTAAGTACTTTGCGTACGGTTTCTTACTGACTCCTCCCTAAAACATCAGTGTAGATATTGATAGGTAAGGAGAGCCAGGACCAGAGAGGTAAAGTAACTTAATTAAAGTTGCACAGCTGCTCAAAGTCAGAGATTGGATTGGGGCTCACCCTGCCTTTCATTAGAGCCTCTGCTTTTTCCCTCCTGGCAGGTGCTACATGAACCCCTGATCGACGAGGACCCCGTGTTCATTGCCACGTGCACAGAGCGTGAGCTGCGCAAGAGGAAAAAGCGGAAATTCAGCCTCTGGGTCAGACAGTGCTCTTCCACTGGCTTCATCATCCAGGTGAGCCCTGGGCTGGGCCAGGGAGGGTCAGGGAAGGCAGTCAGGGGACCTTGGGCCCATTCGGTGACCAAGAACTTGGTCACTTGGCCTTTTGCTGTGTGTCAAAGTCTACCCAGATGCGCCAGCGGGGGCTGGGGCTGGGCTGCCGCTTTTCCCCCCACCCCAATCCCTCCCCATCCTTCAAGGCAGCTGGGTAGCCATCCCTGGAGAGGCCACTGCCATGATCGGCTGTGTCCCCTGCATGTTCCTTCTCCACTCTCCAGCCCATCTCGGTAAACGACTCATCAAGGCTCGGGTCCTAACAGTGTTGGCCAGAGGCGTCACCCAAACATACAGTCATTGGAAGTGACTGGAGGCTGTCCCTCAAGACTGTGGACTTGTGGCTTTGAGACTTGTGGCCTGGAAGTCCCTCCCCACACCCCACCCCTGCCAGGAGTCAGCCCTACCTTCCACTGTCCAGGATGCCTTCTTCCCAGCCACTAACAGCCAGCTGTGAAATGTGCTGTCCCCGGAGCATGTGCCTGAGTCATCGGCCCTTTGAGCGGGCGGGCGGGCGGCAGACTTGGGCGCGTGTTTTAGAAGAGGTCCCCGAGCTCAGCTCCAGAAAAAGCATCAGATGTTGAGCTGCCCGGAGCAGTGGGGCACACAAAAGGAGAGGTGGGAAGGTGGAAAGCAGAGTGTGGCACCTAGGCGACATCTCTCTGCCTGAGCTGGTTTCTCACGCGTGCTGCTCGGGGACACTGCTCTCACTGGACAGGCAGGCCGGCCCTGTGGTGATGGCCGACCCCACTCGCTGCTCCTGCTTGGCAGCCCCGGGACCGAAGGTGCAGGGTTTTTGCTCTTCCTTCTTCCCTGAGCCAGAGAAGGAGTCGCGGGAAGAGCGTCTGCTCACCGCATCGGAGCACAGCAGGGACGTGACGCGCCGCGCCCCAGGTTTGCCTGCCCTCGGCAGCGCCGTCCCAGCCTCCTCCTGTGTGTCAGGGGCCTCCGGGCCGGGCTGGGGCCAGGATCTCCAGCAGACCCTGGGGCTCTGCTTGTGCGTAGATTTTGGGGAGTTGCCACAATGAGGTTCGCTCACCCTTGGATGTACAGCCTGGGCCCCGGCATTCTCCAGGGGCCTCTGCCACTTCCGTGGTGTCCTCGGCGATGTACCCGTAGGGTACAAATGTGTCAGTTCATCTTATATAAGCCCTGCCCAGGCACATTCGTTCGTTCTTTCAGTAAATATTAACGGAGTCCCCGTTACCTGCAAGCATTGTGCCCAGCACCCAGCTTGTGAATAAACGTTCGCCCGCGGGTTCTGTGTGCCTCTGACACCATTTCCTTTTCACCCCAAAGTTGGTGAGTACCTGGAAATCATGTCCATTCCCTGGCCAGGCCACAAGTCTCTTTCAGTACAGGTCCTTTCCCTCTTGTATAAAATCGATAAAACCCCCATCTATGAGAAGTTTGGGCTGGCATCTCGAAATTTCCTTTTACTTCTAAGGCTCTGTGATTCTAGGAGGCTTTGCGGCAGAAGAGGGGTTGTTTTTAGAAGCTAGAATTGAAGCTGGCAGCTCCCAGTCAAAGCAGTCTAGCGTCCCCGTCGCCAGGGGCGGCTCAGACGCACGAGGGAAGGCAGCAGTTCCCCTCCAGTGACAGGCTGAGCGAGAGCTCTCTCAGCCTCCCCTTCCCATCTCTGCTCCTGGGCACACAGCAGGGAAGGGACATCTCTGCCTGTGAGGAGCCACGTGGCCTGGGGACGGCTTCTTTTTAGTGTCCTGTCCCTTCTCCTGGTTCTCCAGCTGCTGATCCTGGTTTGACAGCTTTGGAAGGTCGGGACGGGTGCAGCCGTCCCACCCGAGCTCTCACACCTCCGGCTCCTCCCTTCGCACCACAGCCTGGGGAGACGCAGAGTCCGGGGCATTTAGCCCCATTTCCCACGTGAGGCAGCTTAGGCTCGCAGAGGTTACCTGCAACATAGTGAGACCCTGTCTCATTTTTTTTAAAAAATTAAATCCCAAATGATATTTCTAAGTTTGACCATTCACCTTATTTCCATCTTGGCTTCAAGTGGCTTTTAATTTTTTTTAAAAAATTAAATAATTTTCAAAAGAACTCCAAAACATTTCAGTTTCAATATTTTTATAGATTTAATGCTCTTGAATTCATCTGAAGGGAAATCTCAGAATCAGCACTTAATGCTGCTTCCCCCCGCCCCCGGGGCCCCCAAGCTGCCTCTTCCTCCTCGGCCCCCTGAGCACATCGGCAGTGCCAGCTCCTGCCACTGCTTCCCCGTGGACATGGCCATCCCCTCCATCGCTCCAGATCTTGGCGTCCTTCTCTAGGAACTGAAGGGATGGGATTAGGTACCCAGAGAGGTCCCTGCTGTTGCAAGAGTCCGTGGCCCTCTTTGTAAATGTCACCCTGGGGTTGTATACACAAGGATGTTTTCGGGATTGTACTTTCTCAGATACGTTGAGCTCTTCTAAATGACTTTCCACTGGAGAAGTGCAGCTGCTGGCTGGCTGTGTTCATGGCCCTTTGCCATTCCACTGTGCTGCTCGCTGGAGGTGACGGCTGCCCCACCCCTCCCAGTGCGGAGATTGCCCATATGTTTTGCTTGGCCGCGGGATGCAGGGGTGCGTGAAGGTTGAAGGGTCACGTGCATGGTTATCCTCCTGCGGTTTCACTGCCTTGGCTGTGAGAAAACGCCCAGGCAACATCACCTGAGTTCTGAACACCCAAGAGCTTAGTAAAAGGTTAAAGACTTCGGGTTGTTTTCGTATGTACCATAACCGACCCAGGGGCCTACTGTTACAGTCTGCACAGCTGACCGGATAACTTTCTCCCTGTTACCTCCGTTGCAAACCACGAAGGGCAGTGGTGAGTTTCAGGGGGGACCAAGGTCTTGCTTCAGTTTTGTAGCTTCATCCTGCCAAGACTCTAAACCTTTGACTGGCCCGACTGTGTTCTTGTGAGGTAGGGCCAGAGTGATGATTAGCTCTACATGGAAGATTCTAGATCAAGGGGTAAGTGAGATAGATAAATTCCAAATTGGTCGGTGGTCCCAGAAAAGGTCAGCAGGAAAGTTGAGCAGGAGCTAAGTACAGCCCGTTCACCTTACCTGCTGCTCAGACGGGGTGAATTTATCCCACCAAGGCACCTGGGAGAGAAGGAGGCAAACTGACAGCTGGACAGAGATAATGACGATGATGGCGCTCAGGAGAACACCAGTATAGTAGCCAGGTGCAGTGACTCACGCCTATAGTCCCAGCTACTCAGGAGGCTGAGATGGGAGGACCACTTGGGCTGAGGAGTTCGAGACCAGCCTGGGCAACACAGCAAGACCCTGTCTCATTTAAAAAGAAATATAGAAAAGAAGAACTCCAATATATTTCAATATTTGTATAGGTTTAATGCTCTTGAATTCATGTGAAGGGAAATCTTAGAGTCAGATGAAAGTGGTTCAAAATCTTATGTGATTTAACTAAGAGAATATAGGGAGGTATGTGGTCGGTTGGACATGGGAAGAAGAGATTAACTGTCATTCTGAAAATTAAAGAGGTTAATACCTTCCATTTCTGAGAATGCAAGAAGTAAGGAGTCAGAAGTTTCAAGGAGAAAGAAGTAATCAGATGAGAGCAGACACGGCTTGGAGGCTGCAGAGCAGGAGTCAGATGGTCCCATAAATGCCTCTCCAGTCGGTAAAGTGGCACTGCCTCATCTGTCCCCATATCCCTCTGCCAAGGCTCCTTCCAGCAATCCCTTAACAGAGGCGCCAGCTCGGATTCAGATTGGTGGGCCTCATCTCCCACGCGGCCTTCATAGGGCTCTCCTGCAGGCTGCTTCCCTTAAAAGTCCTTGGATCCAAAACGTGTATCCTGGTGTTTCACCATGCACCAAACTCTCGAAAATGGATCAAAAATATGCACAGATGCTAACGTGTGCCCAAGGCCTACGGGAGCTATCAGACGAGGCCGTCCACGTTACTCTGGGAAGCGGAATACTACCGCATGTGGGACCAGGCCTTGGGGCTTTGACAGGCTGGTCAACTTGATACGGGGAATGGTGGGGACTGGTGTATGGATTGCGTACTATGGGGAATATCCTGTCCTCCAGGAACATGGCTTTTTTTTTTCGTAATAAAATACATACAACATAAAATTTTCCATTTTAACTATTGTTAAGTGTACAATTCAGTGGCATAAGACATTCACATTGTTGTACAGCCATCACCTCCATCCATCTCCAGAACATCTTCATCCCCGCAGACGGGAGCTTATCCCTCAGCTGGGGGATGGTACACTGACATTTGGGGGCAGTCAGTGTCCCACGGATGAAGGCGCCTGCTAGATTTGCCGTCGGCATGGCAGGAGCTCAGAGGAGGGGCTGCCCCGGAGCCTTGGTCTAGTTGAACTCTCTGTGCTGCATCCACCCTGAAGCTTGTCTCATTTCCCTGGGTCAGGTTGGCCACAGTCTCAGCTGCTCCGAGTGCCATGCCTGTGGGGCTCCCAGGGAGGGCAGATGAGTGGCACAGACGGTGCGTGTGCTCCCCAGCCCTGGGCCTATTGCTGTCCATGCGCGTTCCATGCAGGAGCGGTGCTCACGGTCACTTGTAGCACTCCTGGCCCTGCAGGGGTGAGTGCCTATTCTTCATGTGTCGCCTAACCTGGCATTCTCACTCCACCTCCTGGCATCAGCAGGGCTTGGAGGTGTGATGGTTAATTTCATGTGTCACCTTGGCTGGGCCACGGCACCCACTCGTTTGGTCAAACTGCAGTCTAGATGTTGCTGGGAAGGTATTTTTTTTTTAGATGGAATTAACATTTAAATCAGTAGGTTTTGAGTAAAGCAGATTACTCTCTGCTTTACTCAAAAAAAAAAAAAAAAAGTGAGTGGGCCTTATCCAATCAGTTGAAGCCTGTAGGAAAATGATTGGCGTACCCCCTGGAGAGGGAATTCAGCCACAGATGGCCTTCAGACTTGGGCTGCAACTCTTCCCTGGGTCCCACCCCCAG